GTATGTCGATGACATTGTACTCACGGCCTCCACACCTGAATTGCTACGTTCTATCACCGCTGCCCTTACTCAAGAGTTCGCAATGAAGGATCTTGGCGATCTTCACTACTTTCTCGGCATCTCAGTCACTCGCTCGTCGAATGGGTTGTTTCTCTCTCAACGCAAGTACGCTGACGAGATACTAGAGCGTGCACACATGGCCTCCTGCAACCCTTGTCTTACGCCAGCTGACACAAAGAGCAAGTTGTCCTCAACCACTGGACCCCCCGTTGCTGACCCCACTCTTTATCGCAGCCTTGCCGGTGCACTGCAATACCTCACGTTTACTCGCCCTGACATCTGCTATGCTGTGCAACAAATATGCCTATTCATGCATGATCCGAGGGAACCTCATATGGCTGCTCTCAAGCGTATCCTTCGCTACATCCGTGGGACTCTCGATCACGGCCTTCAGCTCTCCCCCAATCCGGACCTCTCACTTATCGCCTACTCCGACGCCGATTGGGGTGGCTGCCCTGACACTCGTCGTTCGACATCGGGCTATTGTGTTTTCCTCGGCAACAACCTCATCTCTTGGTCCTCCAAACGACAGGTCACTACTTCTCGATCGAGTGCGGAGGCCGAATACCGAGCTGTCGCAAATGCCGTTGCCGAAACGACTTGGTTACGCAACCTACTTTCCGAGTTGCTCTGCCCACTTCCGAAAGCCACCATTGTCTACTGTGACAACGTTAGTGCCGTCTACCTATCCAGCAATCCCATTCAACACTCTCGTACGAAACATGTGGAGATCGATATACACTTTGTCCGAGACAAAGTTGCTTTGGGACACGTTCGAGTTCTTCACGTCCCATCCGCCTACCAATTTGCTGATATCTTCACGAAAGGTCTCCCCACTCAACTGTTCCAACAGTTTGTTTCCAGTCTCCACGTTCTCTCCTTTCCCGTTTCGACTGCGGGGGTGTATTAGCGTATATTATTATTATTATTATTATTATTTATTATAGTTACCTTATACATTAGGTTACCTTGTATATTAGATTACCTTGTGTAGTAGGTTAGGGTTTCCTACATGTAACTATATATATTCTCAATATACGTAAGAGATATTATTCTCTCTTCTCTCCAATTATTCTCCTTCTATCAGTTTTATAAATCGTGAAAGATAACGAAATTTATCCCGTGCATTTCAATTTTTCTTGTGAATTGGAAAAAAAAAAAGAAGTGAATGTATATGAACCATATACTATAGATGGGGGGTGACTGCCCCCTTAAGCAACAAATCAAATCTATCCAGATATCAAAATCTATTATTTTTCTACAGTTCATGGTATTTAGTTACATCTCTCTCATCTCAAACACAACCAGATTCTATGAACTGTGAACTGTTGACCTTTTTTACTCACTTGATTTAATTATTTTATTTATTTATTTATTTATTATTTAAATACAAATAGTATTTTAAAAGATTCAAATTGCATGATGATCAAAGCTTCGGCCTTTGGAGTTAGGAACTAGTTTTGTCAACTGTTTAGATTTTTCACTTTACACCTACCCAAAGAAGATTCTTTCTCATTTATTTATTTAATTTTTTTTTACTTTGCACCTAATAATAAAAATGAGAGAAAAAAAATAAAATATCTTATCCATTATTATTGTGTGATATTGGTTGAAGACAAGTCCACATTGGAGTTTACATCAACCACCAATCATGGGAAATCAGTCTTAAAAAAAATTAAATAGACTTTCTTGTAATCAAAATTAATAGGTATTTACTAATTTTGTTAATCAATAAAGTCGCGGCTTACGTTGTATATTTAATTCTAAAATGAATCTCACCAAACGGTGCCAATGCTTTTCTGACTGGTCGACGGGATTACTCGCTCCCGACGTTTTTTAGTTTAAATATTTACGATTGAGATTCATTCGTTATATGTATGTATAGTTGATTACGATAAGGTCACCATCAAAAATAGGCGTTGTCTAATTAAATAAATTGGAGAATGTGAATATCACCTGATATGTTTCTTTTTCTCGTTACAGGAAAATAAAATTGGGGACATATTTAATATATTTATTGTACGGTATGTGATGTGACATAAATCCCATTTTGTTCTTGCTGGAAATCATAATTGATTTGACAAAAAAATGAAATTGTTAAAATTATTTAAAATGCAAGAAATTAATTATAAAAATACAGAATTTTACATGATAGGCAACCATTTATGAAATCCAGCCACAAGAAAAAAATTGGGGCACAATGAGTTGTCTATTTCGTGTAAATCATAATTTGATTTTCTTGGATTTTTCTAATTTAATAATTACAATTTCCAGAGAATTATTGGTTCGATCGATCTTTCTAAATGCATGCATGGAATTCCCTTGAAATAAAGTTCAATATACTAGTCGGTACTAAAAAAAATTATATTAATTTAAAGAAATATTAAATTATCGAACTAATAATTTATTATATTTTTAACAGCATAAGAATGTTAACTTATCGAGATTCTATTATAGTTGGAGGATAAATTCAATATTTTACCTTCTAAAATTGATTAACTAAACTATAACTTTAGGTACAAATAATAAAGCGTCTAAGCTTCATTATATTGAACTAGATTTTAACAAATTTAATATATTTATATATTAAAAATTAAAAGAAAAAAAATTAGGGTGGATGCATGCATTAAATAGGTTGTAATAAAAAACAGGTTGACTTGTTCCAATTTTAAGACAAGGTCCAAAAATCTGCCTTAGTATCTACTTTGGGAGAAACAAATGTGTCCCTTTGCTGGATCTACTAGCCTACAAATGATGAAACACACTTGAAAAACACCATATGCCACCAACACTTATCAAGATTTACGAGTAACTCTCCGAAACTGCATTAGGTTAATCATATGAGACAAACTCTCAGGGGCAGAATCAGATTAGAAACTAGGGGGCTAACTAAAATTTCAGGGTTCGGGCAGCGCCCTGAATTTTTTTTAGGTTCACAAGACATTGAAAAAATAGGTTTATACTGCGAATTTTTAATTAAAATAACACACACACACACACACACACACACACACACACACACACACACACACACACACACACACACACACACACACACACATATATATATATATTATTTTATCATATTTCAAGCATGACAAAAAAATCTAAATTATTCTAATAATATACTGCACTTAATGGTATTCATGGCACTGTCTTGTATTATTTTTTAGAGACATTGATATAAAAAATCAAAGATCGATAAGTAAATATTCATAAATTTTATTTAAGATAGTACAAGTTTTAACCATATTATTTTATATTAAATATGATATATATCTATAATTTATATAAAATTATAGAGAATAAACAAAAAAAAAAAGGGAACTCTACATATCGACTGTTGTTAAAATGATTCGAACTTGAGTCGACTGACACGAGTTTACATACTCCACTCGCTATGTCATTCATTGCGGGACGATTGGCAAATAGACCGATTGAGGGGTTAAGTTGCGTTGCAAGAAAGTCGCACAAAATAAAAAAAGAAAAATATAGGAAATTGTAATGAAAATAATTTAAATGAAGAGTAGTTTTATATTATTGGTGTGTAGCAATTAGATAAACAAATGAAGACGAAATTGATATTTGTTGTTTTTAATTATTTTAATGTTTCTGTGTGGATGGAAGTTATAGGAGTAGGGCAATGCAGCACGAGTGGATGGGTTTTCACAATATTTCAAGTCTTGTTATTATTTGTGGAAAAAATAAATTAATTAATTAAGTTAAAAAAATAATTAAAAAAATAAAAAATAATAAAATAAAAGGAAAGGTGGTGGCATTAATATGGACAATGAGCAACAAACAAAATGGTGGGCCTTTGATAGTTGCATTTCTATGAAAATTGCGATTAATTAGGATGGGGTACCCATTAACCACTTTGTCTTTGATATATATATATATATATATATATATATATATATATATATATATAATTTTTAAATAATTTTTGAAAACATTAGAAAGAGAAGAAAATCCTACATGGACATTAAAAAAAAAAAAAAGATGGACAAGGATATGAAATGGGCCTGATTAATATAATTGGGGGCAATAATAAATACTAGTGAACAAAAAAACCGAAGAGGCCCAGAAAATTAAATAGGAAAAGAGTTAATTCTTGGGATTCGAGCTTTCTGCATTCTTGCTGGCAATTTGAGATCACAACTTGTAAAAAAAAACCACACACATAAAAATCATGATAAAAGGGGGACCAAAAATCAACATTTATTATTATTGTTAATATTATTATTTTTGAATATTGGAATAAAATAGTAAAGAAAAATGGCATAAAAGTAATAATGGGGTGAATTGGACCAGCCTAAGAGTGAGAGAGGGAGTAGAAGATTTTGCATAGGAGTTGACATAGGGGCTATATAGTATATAGGGTGGTCCTTAAATTTGTTACATAATATATTTTGGTAAATTATTTTTAAAATCTGTGTTTTTGTTTTCTTGGACTGACAGTCAGACTTGTGTACTGCTACTGAACCTCCTCTAAATCCTAAGTACATTTACTGAAATTAATTTCCAACAACATCAGGACAATTTTTTATTTTATTTTTTTTATCTTTATTATGTTTTGGGTATTCTGGAAACAATAATTAATTTGTAAGATAATAAAAAAATTGGAGAAATAATGGGCCAATTTTTGTTTTGGACTTGGGTCCATAACATTTACTCTAATGGGCTTTCGGCATCAGAAACCAAATTTGATTTATTTATAAGTTGGTGAATTCAGTATTTGAAAAATAAAATTTAATTTAAGCTTATTTAGTTCAGGGTGACCTCATATTTAATTTCATTACAGCTGTTTTGGAGATGTTAAATCAACTTATTTATTTATTATTTGTTTAGCTCTTTGGTAGATCCTCGGGCTTTGTACGAGATTCTCGGTATTCGGGCTTTAGAGCAATTGAGCCCGTATCAACTTAGTTCCGCAAAGATTTGAAGCAACCATTTCAAGTACACTAATTAGCAGGGTTAAATTTGAGTTATAAAGCATGTTATCGCACAGGCTTATTACAAGAAGATAACTTAACAGCTCGACACGGGATTTTCGGCACAATTTTTGGCCAGCTGTGTCCGAATGTAAACAACAAGCCGTGTGAGAGAATGAATACACACAAAAATACCTTGGTCAAAATTTCCTATGTATCTTGTATTAGTTGAGGAGTCACGATTCTCAAGGTCAGACAAAATGCTCGGTAGGGTACTCGTTTTCGTATCCGTTATAGTCGTAGTAGAGCCTCTCTCCCTTTCTAATATCTCTGTTCGCAATTAAAAGAACCCTGCATTCGCCGTTCACATTATACCTCACACATTTCACATTCTGTTTCTTCTTTCCACCTCTGCACGAGCAAAAACGACGTCACACTTAGACATCGTATATTATAACAAACATCTATATGGAGAGAGAGTATTGAATACATACGGTATATGGTTGTTGATGCCATTGACAAACCGAGCAATGTTACTCCGCTTATCTGGACAGATGACGAGGCTTTTCGAAGAGTTAGCTGCGGTGAGAAGAGTCATCATGCTATCTCCGTCGTCGTTTTCGCGGTTTTTCAAGAAGTCAACATCTCCCACATACTCTGTGATTATGGTCAAATCTCGTATGTGTCTATCTGCTTCCACGGTGAATCTATTCCGTTCCAAAACGAGAAACCAATAATAAGGATCCATGCACTAACACATTCGAAATAATACAGCAAACCAAAAAAAAAAAACGAAAAAAATGGAGAGTGGAATATAATATACTCACCCTTCAAGTGGATCGAAAACAACCATTAGGGGCGGCCATTCTCCTCGTCCCATCATATTCTTACAGAGATTCAACGTTTCTGCATCGTCTTTCGACATTACCTAATCGTCAATAAAAATTGCGAGTGTTAGGTTATAGTATCTTCCAAGTTTGAGATGAAGCCCTAATAAATCTCCCTAGTCTAGTATTTGTCAAATGGACAAATCTTGATTTACAAACGAAAAACCAGTATTTTATTTCAAAGGTGCCAAATATACACACTAAAACGGAAATTCTTGAATAAATCATGCTTAAAGAAAATTATTTTTCACGAAAAAAATATAAAATCATTTTCAATTGCTTAGGAATCAAAACATAGTAGGAATTTTCAAATTCGTTGTTTTTGAATTTTAATTTTCCTCGATTTTCAAAATACCTGCATTCCATCTCTTTCAAGATGAGCACAATTTGCGGATCTTGGAGCCATGCCTGCAACATAAGTGAGCTCGTTACTGAACTCTGTGCCGGTTGCTGTCAATGCCGTAGCTAAAGAGGCCATCTGTTCCAATCTTCTGGTCGGATCTTCGGTCGGGTTAAAAGGCAACAATTTCCTGCTCTTCTTTGACATAACTAGTCCACCGCTTCGCTTTCGCTTCTTTCTAGAATCTGAGGAGGAAAACGAGGAACAGTACGAATAAGAGACAGCATAGCTAAGCAATAGTACAAATAAGACCGGTGCAAATAACGAGATCCCCTTTTACCTGGACTGAGACTTTCGGATTGCGAACATCTTTGAATGCGGAAAAAATCAACGATTTTAGTTTGCACTAGTGGGAATTCTGCAAATTCAATTGACCAGGATTAATACGATGGATCGTGTAAGCGAATTGCAAAACAAGGGTAACAGATTTATCTACAGAAAAAAACATGATTGAGAAATCTAACTCCTAGAAATTCAATTTGAGCGAGCACATAAAATTCGACTCTCATTCATCCGGTAGTTGACATCGGCTGCAGAACTTTATACATTTATTCCGGTGATGGCTATGACTCAAAATATACATACAGATGCAAATTATAATACATCATAACTCAAAATGATGAAAAAACATTTGTGGAAAAGCCAATGTATGTTTTGCAGCAATAATCCACAATTAATTTAATCAATTTAAAGCGTAAACAGAAAATATTTAATTTATAAGGAAGAAAGGTCAGCTGCATTCCATGATTTAATAAATGTAAATTCAGAGACAGGTGCATATCAGTAAATCGGCCCCAAATAAAACGAAATAATAGAAAACCTAAAAATATTGGGGGAAAAAAAACCTAAAGGGAATCTCCATTGACATACTTGGAAGGTTTTTGTGATTGGAACAAGACGGGCAGAACCAGCGGCCTTTGGGCACAGCAACGAGAACCGGACGGAGGCAGAATAGGTGGAATCCACGGTCACATTCATCGCATAGCAGAAGATCCGCCGCGTGCTGACCCGACCCGCATTTCTCACAGCACAGATCGCTGTAGTCTTCCTCCTCCTCTTCTTTTCTCTTCGATTTGAGTGTTTTCCTGGATTCGAGCTTGGATGAAATTGGCTTTAGAGCTTGCGTTCTTTTCCGTCGCGACTCCATTGATGAATCTAACAGTGTGTGTGTGTGTGTGTGTGTGAGTGTGTGAGAGAGAGAGAGAGATGAGAGAGAAAGTGAGGGAGGAGAGAGAGAGAGAGAGAGAGAGGGAGTGGGAAATGAAGGTGGTGTTATTAGGCTAAAAAAAAAACCGGGAACGCAAAAGCTTTCGCGCGGTATTCGGGTTGCGCGGCTGAAGTTGACATTTTAGCGCCATTTCCGTGTCAAACCGGGATTAAAAAAATCAGCAGGCCCATTTATCGGCACAATCCTTGTCAAACCGGGCCGATTAAAAAAAATCAGCAGGCTCAATTATCGGCACAATACTTCTCTAACCGGGCCGAATAAAAATATTAGCAGGCCCAATCGTCGGCACAATCCTTGTGAAACCGGGCCGATTAAAAATATTAGCAGGCCTTATTGTTGGGACAATCCTTGTTAAACCGGGCCGATTAAAAATACGAGCAGGCCCAATTATTGGCATTGTCCTTTTCAAACCGGGCCGATTAAAAATATAAGGCCTCGTTTGGTTTGCAAGATAAGATTAGCCAAGATAAGATTAAATAATCTAATGAGACCCAATTATTTTATTGGAGCTTGAAAGGTGCAACAAAAAAAACTCATTAAAAGGCAAGATAAGCCATGATTATATAATTTTGGCGGGTCGACCCGGCAAGTTATTGAGGATACCAAACATCAAATTAAGTCCAACTATTTAGTTAATCATGGCTTATCTTGGCAACCAAACGGGGCCTAAGTAGGCCTAATTGTGGGCACAATTCTTGTCATACCGGGCCGATTAAAAAAATCAGTATGCCCCATTATTGGCACAATCCTTTTCAAATCGGGCCGAGTAAAAAAATCAGCAGGCCCAAATGTCGGCACAATCCTTGTCAAATAGGCCGATTAAAAAATCAGTAGGCCCAATTATCGGCACAATGCTTGTTAAATTGGGCCGAATAAAAAAACAAGAAGGCCCAATTATCGGCACAAGCCTTGTCAAACCGGACGGATTAAAAAATCAATAGCCCAATAAACCCCAAACCGCCAATTTTTCCCCTAAAGAAAAGGAAAACTCGAAAAGAAATTCCTTTTGTGGAATCTCTGACCATTTGTTGATGGATCATGGAACCCACGCATGCGATTCACCTCGTCACCTCCAATGACTCGCCCGAGTTCGTCCACCTTAAGTACGCGTTGACTCACTCTTCGATAATCGGACTCGACGCGGAATGGAAGCCCAACCGCCACGCGTCCACCTTCCCCACCGTCGCCCTCCTCCAAATCGCATGTCGACTCGTCAACTCGGACGAGTCAGAGCCGGACGAGTCGCCGGTTTTCCTACTCGATCTCCAAGCGGTTCCTCTGCTCTCGGTGTACGAGTTGTTGAGAGAATTGCTTGTCTCGCCTGATGTTATCAAGTTAGGGTTTAGATTTAAGCAGGACCTTGTTTATTTGTCCTCCACTTTTGTCGAGCAAGGCTGCGATCCTGGTTTTGATAGAGTAAGTACTTTTCCCCCCCTTGAATTCTTTGTTGCTTTTTCGGAAATCGTCAATGGAAATGTTAGGATAAAAGATTAACATTGAGTTTTAATAAGTAGCTTTGAGCAAAATTCACAAAGCGTTTCAGATTTGATTTTGAGTTTTCTTCATGCCTGAATTTTATTCCTTACGAGTGAACGAATAGCTGGATTAGATAGTTGAATGCTTGTTGATAACTGTGAGCTGCATTATGGAGAGAGGTAGACTTTTTAAATTTGATTATCACTGTATTCCTCTGTAATTTATGCTCACTGGAAAAGGTAATTCGATAAGCTGCTTATAATATCTATGGATTTCTGTAATTATTCAATTTTTTAGGTTAATCGAAATTTATTGTGAAGGTGGAACCGTATATAGACATTACTGCCATATACAACTATCTACATCCTAAACAACTCGGACGAAGGATATCGAAGCAAATCAAGAGCTTGGCAACAATCTGTGAAGAAGTTTTAGGAATCTCACTCTCTAAGGTCTGTTAGTTCTATAAGTTATCTGTCTTCTTGAAAGCCTTTAAATGCAGTCTACTTCAGATTCCAAAGTAGATTTTGAATGTGCGCGTTTTGTGTTTGTAATTCTTTCAGGAGCTTCAGTGCAGTGACTGGTCCCAGCGTCCTCTAACAGAAGAGCAGAAGATATATGCGGCTGCAGATGCTCATTGCTTGGTTCAGATATTTAATGTTTTCCGAGCGAAGGTTGTTAGTGAAGGTACAACTTCGTTTATTCCATAAAATAGTGGAACGTTCGATTCCTTACATTTAACGAGAAAATGTTGTGTTGTTCTTCACTCTAACCCTTATACGACGTTTTATGATGCTGTTTTGGATGTTTGATGCAGGAACTTCCTTGGGAAACCATATTAAACATTGGCCATCTGGCTTTGATCCTGGGTTGAAGCAGATTACTGAGACATCGAATGGGTGTAACATGGTAACACAAACAAAATTTTGTGAAGCTTCAAATATGATCCGCACAACTGTGCCAGAAGTACATAGTAGCATACTAATAACTGAGGAGGTAGATTCTATGAAGTCGAGTGAATGTATTAACCATGTTGATAATAGCCTCTTGTGGATTGTTAGGAAACACGGTGACAAAATATTGTTAAAGGATACAGACAGAAAACCGAAAACTACCAAAAGAAAGGCTAAAAAGTCTTCTACTGGATCAGAGAGTAGTAAACCGAAAAACCTTCAAACTGCAGAAGAATGGCAAGGCCCCCCTCCATGGGATCCATCCTCGGGTGGTGATGGATGCCCCAAGTTTTTGTGTGATGTAATGGTATGTGTGTCTAGTCAAATCTTAGTTTTATGATCAATTTTTTGCAGAAAGTTTGAGTCTGTTTGTGAAAATTCCTCAGATTGAAGGCTTGGCAAAGCATTTACGATGTGTTGGGGTAGATGCCGCAATTCCATATTCAAAAAAGCCGGAAACCAGGTGCAATTGAGTAGATGATATCTAGTGTTTATGTCGTAACTCATAAACATTTTAGTACGTTTATTTTCTAATAAGAATAGGAGAAACTTGCTTGACTAGATGTTACATTTATTTTCTTAAGGGATTTAATAGATCAAGCGCGAAAGGAGAAGAGAGTTCTCTTAACACGGGATGTCAAGCTTTTGAGATATGAATATTTGATAAAGAATCAGATATATCTGATTAGAAATCTCCTTAAAAACGATCAGCTACTGGAGGTAACTCTAATTTAATAGCAGCATCTAGAATGCCTAAACGGCTATACAACCTTGATATATTTTTTCGGGATATCCTGAACGTCGATTAAGCGTCTCTAATTCAAAACGGAACATGAAAAATTCCCCCTGTTGTTAGATATTTCTTTTCCTTTATTGCAAATGACCCCGCTCTCATTTGTGAAGAAAACCCTAAATGCAACAACGACAGAGTAATTGTTCCAAAAAAACAGAAAAGTACCGACTTGTTGCTGATTTTGAGATGGTGCAGGTAATTGAAACATTTCAGCTTAAGATTTCTGAGGACCAGCTAATGTCAAGGTGTACAAAATGTAATGGGGGTTTCATCCAAAAACCTCTAACAACTCAAGAAGCCGTCGAAGCGGCTAAGGGATTTCAAGTGATTCCCAACTGCTTGTTCAACAAAAATATTGAGTTCTGGCAGTGCAGGGACTGCAATCAACTATACTGGGAGGTACCCCTCATTTTTCAACTTCCTCACTGTAAATAACGCGCACATAAACCCCCCCCCCCCACACCCCTCCCTAAAAAAAAGCCCATATTCCCCAAAAGTACTTTCTCCAAAGTGGGCTGGCGCGAGGAAAATTGGGAAGAATAAAAAATAAATGGGGGGGGATTTAATTACATGGTTTCCAAAAAAAAGTTTA